ACTCAATGGAAGATCACCACTGTGTTGTTTGATCCAGGCTTCTCTGAACATTCTCTGCCAGAGAGTGGAAGATGACTGTATCTAAAGGGTTGGGTTTATATCATTTATAATTGCTCTGATAGATTTTCTTTGGATATTCCTATCATAGATATAGATGGCAGTGGGTTTTCTAGTTGACGTTTCTTTCAGTTCATACCTTTTGAACAAAGAAATATTGTTGCATGTGACTGAACAGAAGATCGTATTATTAGGGTTTTTTAAAAATTGCTATTTTACATGTGTCATAGTGGTAACTTGACAAGTGTTTACTGCTAACTGGATTTGATAAGAATCCTCCTTCAATATGATTTAAAAGGCAATGGATGCAAGACTGAAACACTTTATCCTAGATCTCATGCCAGAAGCTTATGATCTGAATGAAGCATCAGAGAAAGCTTGTTAGCAGGCACCCTGACTACAAAGGGGCATGGTCTCTCTACTGTCTCAGACAAATGGCATTGCTTTGTTTAATGTATCAAGTTCATTCTTGAATTCAGTTATGTTTCATGCTCCTCATTCCAAATTAAGAACCAAAATTCGTAACTGTTGCTACTGTAAAAATTATCTGAAGATAGATAACTTCGCCCATGTAATTCCACGTTCAAAACAAATATTTGCTGCCCTTCTAGCTCTTCGAAGCTGCAAACTGGATAACAGTTTTCAACCTTATTCTGTTCATATAAATATTTATTTTCTAGTACAATGCCAGATATTTTAAAGCTCATTTAAGTTCAAATGATTTTCTACATAATATAAACCTATAAAAAAATAATATCAGAGCAATCTGGCATAGGGTGTCCTTTTTGTTAAAAAATAAAAAAATCAAAACAAGAAAAAAAACAACGCCAAAACAAACAAAAAACCCCACAAATAAACCCCCAAAAACTCAAGTTGCATTTTTTACCATATTTTCCTTTTATCTTCATGCTTTTTGTTAATCTTTTTAAACCTCACTAACAATGAAGTCCTACTGGTGGATCTTATTTGATTGCTTTAAATAGAACTATTATATTTATTCTTGAATTAATTTATAGCTTCATTTTCAAGACAGTTATTTCCTAAGTAATCTTCATTTGTGCTCTAGGTGGCATATATAAAGAGATTAAAAGAATACCTTTTCTACTGAGACTCATTTGACTGTACTTTTTGAAACTGCTAGACATGGTTAGTAAGAGTTTTTTGCAGTAAGCTTTGAAATATTAATGAAATAGCACAAATGAGGTGGATTCAACAATTTATAGATATATTCAAGACTAATAAAAAAAAACCTCACAACATAACTTAGTTTGTTATATCATATCCTGGTGTAAAATCTCGTAAACTAGGGCAGCGTGTTTTGGTACTAATCCATACACATTAGATCAGCATTTTATGTCTTGGCCTGTTTATATAACTTCTAGTTGAAGTAGGAATAAACTTCTCCTTTTCTTTGCTCCAGTTAGTACTGTGTATATCTGATGGGGACTGGAACTCTTTCCTTGAAAAGAAGAAGGAATATGGGGTGAAAAAGAGATTAAACGAACTTTACTTCTAATAGCAAATACCTTAGTTGGCATTGGGTAGTAGAAGCAAAAAATAAGCATAGAAAGTGTTTTTATCACAGTTTGTTGTTCTGGTGTTTTTGTTTGATTGGTTTGTTTGTTTGGTTTTTTCCCTCAGTGAAAAGCTACAAGGTAATCATGTCACATACAGAGCATAGCATTTAAATTAAGTGTGTGATTGTCTTAATTAACTGATGCCCAGTGCTATATGCGTAATAATACTTTTTCTTCCATCATGCATACGTGTATATGTATGTAAAATGTGTGGAGATTATAATGATGTAGATAAGCTCAAGATATCTGTAGAAAGAAATGACTGAACCTGGGTTTCAAAGAAAAACTTTGGTCAATCCTTTCACCTGCTTTTTTGTCTTGGAGTTCTAGGTTCAGCACAGTATTTATGGAACAGATACTACTCATATAATACAATTATTTCCTTGTTTCAGGGTATTATTTTGGAAAGTGTCAGTTTAGGGCTGAGGGAAATAAAAGCATTTTGGCAAAAAGCATCAGGAGACTTGGCTACAGTTCCTGTATGCATCTCTGAGACAGAACTTTTCCTCAGCAGTGCTCTCTTCTTACCTCTTGACAACTTGCACCGGCTGATTTCCTCTCCCTGCCCCCCCACCCCCCACCCCAGGAACTTTTCATTCTCCTGTGGTCTGTGGTTAGACTGAATTGTGGGGTTTGGAGCAGAGGTACACCAGCATACTTTTTTTTTTTTTTTTTTTTTAAATCTGTCCTGTCTAAGGTCTGTGTGGTTCTTGACCCGTGTGCAGAGACTTCACATGGTGACTTTTCTTTTATCTAAGTGCATACATTCTGCTTAAATTTGTGCAAAGCACAAGATTTTTCTGTTTAACCAAGCCTGTAAATCTAATGTGAATAAAATAATTTAATCTAAAAAAGTTAAATCTGAGAATTGTGTGGAAATTTGGGGGTTTGACCTGGAAGAAAAGTCAAAAAAAGTTTCAAGTCAGCCTCAGGTTTTCTAAGTTATTTACAGGAGTCTTGTTTAGGCAGAGTAGGCCAAAACAGCAAGGTCTCTGGCCCAATTCCCTCCATGTATTTTAACAGGAAACAGTGTAAACAAACTAGTTTTCCTCTGATTCAACTCCTATTTTTACCTAGCTCTGCCCACTTACTTTAAATTTTATATGAATGTAGACACACAGAGTTTCAGTTGGTGGAGGTTCTCCCAACTGGACTTCTAGACGTCATCTTCAAAATAGTAATAAAGTATACTTTTCTTACAATTTGCAAGGTATCCTTTCAGGGTAGGTAGGCAGGAGCAGGGAAGAAGTTGAAAAGTTAGTCATCATCTCACTCTTGGCTGTGTCACCTGGAGTAATAAAGCCATTGCCATTGCTTTGGGGTTTTTGCAGATCTGTGATTTGCAGTATCATAGATGTATACAAAAAATTCTACTGTAGGTGCCAATAGCACCTCAAGAGTTCTGGGTGTGGGAATAAATATGGAGTCTCTTTGTACAGTCCGTGGTATAGTTAAATCATAACTATTGGTATCTGAGCTAGACAAACTGATGTGAGGTTACATTCAGCATGCTGCATTTCTTCTTTTATTTGAACTATTAACCTAACACTTACAAAAAAAAAAAAAAAAAAAAAAACGTTAACAGTATTGCTGTTAAAGGCAAGATTTAACAGGCTACCCTTTTTTAGGGTTAGCCATCCCATCCAATTATTAGATGTTGCAGGAAAGTGACTAGTGTTTTATAAAGTCTAGAAAAAGAAGCTGTAGGTTAATTGGAAAGGGAAGATGGATTATTGTGATAGATCACAAAGCAGATTGACTGCAAAGGAAAAATTCTTAGAGCAGGAGTTCAGAATGAACAGAATTGCTTTTGTTGTTTTTGCCTGACATTATGCTTTATAAAACTTAAAAAAAAATCTAACAGGAAATCAGTCTCGTAACTGAACTTAGCATCAGAAGCATATCTAGCTTAATTGGAAATTTTTTGTTAAAATCATGGTGACTGGAAGCCTGAGGTTTTTTTGCTTATCTTCATTTAATTTTTTGAGTCACTGTTGTCACCACAGAGATTCTACATTACTTAAGGGAAATGAAATGTGATTGTGCAACTTCTAAAGAAGGGTCCACAAGCACAGGATCTTGCTTCCAACACTGGCAACAAATACATGCCTTGTATGAACAGAGAAAATGTTTATACTTCTCCTGAGTGCTGTCTCAGTCTCTAATTTCTGTATTTTCTACACACAGAATTCTACCTGTTTTTCCTGGGAATAATTTTTTTTTTTTTTTTAAAATGGGTCCTTTCCCTCTTGTTATGATTTTATTTGTTCCTTTATTCTTACAGCTGTTATCATCTGGTATTCAAAGGTGGAAATAACTCTGTATGTGAAAAAGTAAAAGAGGAGGGAATCGATTAAAAAATCCCTATAAATTAGAGCTTAAAAAATAAAATATAGACTATCACACACCAAAAAGGCTAAGGAAAATAAGCAGAAAGAGAATGAAATTGAAGACAAAAATGTCATGGAGAAATAATGCAGTCCTTATATATACATAATGTTAAACAGAAGATAAATGGTGGGTTGGGGGGAATCAACTTTGTCAGTCTAGATAATGGGTTCATGTTCTGAGAAGACTGGAGAATTGATGATAAAGTTACCAAACAGCATGCAACTTCAGAAACCTTTTGGGAAGACACCCATCATCTCAAAAGTAGTCTATCATACAAGCAATGTGGATGGTTCAAGGTACAGGACCACAACAGTTAGGTGCACTCACAAGTGCCTTCTTATCATTCTATAAGAAGAATTGAAATAAAGCCCCTATAACAATCAGGTTAAATAATTTATATTTTTGATGTCAAACTGCATGGGCATTTCATAATTAAACTACTAAATTATTTTCTGTAGGCATTTTTTCTAGTTGATGAAAAAAGAGTTCAGTAATGTGTGCCTTTATGGCAAACTCCGATATTCATCTAGTCTAATTGCTATCTATTTAAATAAAATTGAAAGCAGATTGATATTCTGAAGCACTTTCATGAAGCACAAAAGACTCAAAAATATAATAGGCTGTTAAATTGAAATGCATGTTCCAGTGAAACATTTTGTTTACACTTAACAGCTTATGAGCAAAATGGTAGGTTTAAGGAAAGTACTTTTCTTTGAACTTTTATGAAGTTAGTTTTGTGTTGTAGCTCAGAGTATTACTAAATGCTGAATTCATTACCTTTCCTTATAATCTTTTTTTTTTTTGTAGCAAACTATTATGTTGGATAATACTTCTACACTGCTGTTTGATTTAAAAGATCAAAGCTGTTCTCTGAAGAGTTTTGATTAACTGTGAAGACTGGCTATGTTCAACACTAATAGGTATACTAAAGTGCTGCCAAGATTAATGTGGAGATGACCCTGTGCCTATTTTCAGAATTGCAGGGGGTCGAATTCTGACAACAGTGAAGATGCATTTGATAAAAGGCCGAAGCAATGGGGATCCTTTCTGTCAGGCAGTAGAGGAAGTTGTACAAGATTTGGATTTGAAGATTAAAAATATTATCGATTCACAACATGAAGTCTTGACTGCCAGCACTACTGGAGTCAGTCCAGCACGGGTAATAGGACTTCTTTTGTTCTTTTTACTATTTAGCTTTACAAGAAAGCAATTTTTTTTCACCTGTTTTGTTTCTCTCTTTTTTATTTTTTAAAGGACTTTCTATAGAGTATTATCTTTTCCTAACAGTACAGAGCAGTGCCATTTTCTCTACAGTGACTTTAAACTTTTTGAAAGACTTATATTTGAGGATTACAGTGTGGATTTCAAAAAGCTTGATTTACTTAAACTAAACTTATTACCTCGAAATTGTAAATACCCTACAAAACTTAATTTGTTTGTGCAATTGTTACAGATGTAGATACTTATAACTGTCAGGTTTGCCACTAATTCCCAGGCAGTAGAACTATAACGAATTTCCAAACAAGAAACATCATGAAAGTGGAATTAAGATTTAAGAACATGTATCTAGTAATTTTGATTAAAATACACAGGTTTTAATTAGCTCAGGATCAAGTATATCTAAGGGTAAGGCATTCAAAATAACGTTAAATTGAAGAAAGTCCAAAATATGGTAAAATGTGAAGTGGGATGGAAATAAAAATAAAACCCCAAACAATAAATACGTGATATTTTTATCTTTTAGTGTTTCAAGACACTAATGAAACTATTAATGATTTTAATGTCACAGAAGGAATCGAGATATTTAAAGTTCTTTAAGTCACGTGTGGAGAGCAGAATGCAGGCTTTCCATTTATTTGTGGTTTCTGTATTTTGAATCTACCCAGGTTTATATTATGATCTTTTTTTTGATGAAAACATCAACCAGCTTTATTTTATGTTGTTGATATATAGAATATCTAAAGTCATGTATTTTTGAATATGTGTACACTGTTAGAATGTTTTGTTTTGTGAAACCACTGGAATTACCCCATGGTAACACAGGATTAAAAAAAAAAAAAACTCAATCAGACTTCCAGTATGCTTTTTTTTCTTTTCTTTTCTATGAAAGCAAAACCAGCCAGACTCTAGTGGCTGGATAAACTGGTTTAAATGTGTGTTTCTTCTGCGCAGTTGGAGTATATATTACATCCTCATTTTCCTGTTTGCCCTGAATCTTTCATCACTGTGTTTCCCTGTTTCAGTTCCATATCCTTCTATTTCTTTCTCTTCCCTGTCCGAAAAATTGTATTACTGACAAAATTTTAAAAAAATTATTTAGATCATTATAAGCCAGGTAAAACTATTTTAATAAAACTTAATTCTTCAGAGACATTCACCAAAAAATTGCTTTTCCAAAATGGTTCACGTTTCCTATTGTTCTCCATAGGTCAAGTTCATAGTTTAATGTCTCTGTAGAAATGTTTACCAGTGTCCTTGCTGAGGCAGAAGATAGCAAAGATGGTTGTATCCTGATGTTGTTATGAAATGTGGTTAAATACTTAATCCCATTGAGAGCAGTGTGAAGTCAATGTTTTTCTCAGAATGGGCACCTGGGGGCAGCTTATGAGCTTAATTATATTACTATGAGTCCGTGGTTCTATGTTGAAGGTTTTGCCAATTCTTGAGTTTAAGTTAATTGATTGCTGGAACATCCCATCTACGTGTGGATGGGCAGATGCTACCATAGGTCTCAGTCAGGAAGCTCGAGTACATAACAGGATGATGGGCTTTGAGCTCATCCTTTTTTGGTACTCACCACAGTATGCGCGTGACCGAGAGCCATCAGAGATGACACCGGTCTGGATGTGACTGAACCGCCACTTAGCTTGACAGATCTAGTGCTGTATTGGGTTTCTGTGGCGAGGTTTTGGTAGCGGGTAAGGCGGCAGGGGTGGCTTCTGTGAAAAGATACCAGCAGCTGCCCCCATGTCAGACAGAGCCAGTTCCCGCCAGCTCCAAGACAGACCCGCTGCTGGCCAGAGCTGAGCCCATCAGCAATGGCCATAGCGCCTCTGTTTTACGAAAGGGTAAAAAAAGTGGTGTAACAGCAGTTGGGAGAGAGGAGTGAGAATACATGAGAGAAACGACTCAGCAGACACCGAGCTCAGTGAAGAAGGGGAGGAGGTGCTCCCAGCACCGGAGAAGAGATCCCCATGCAGCCTGTGGTGAAGACCGTGATGAGGCAGGTTGTCCATCTGCAGCCTGCGGGGATCCAGAGTGGAGCAGATCTCCACCTGCAGCCTGTGAAGGAGCCCCACGCTGGAGCAGGTGGATGAGCCCTGAAGGAAGCTGTGACCCTGCGGAGAGCCCATGCTGGAGAAGGTTTCTGGCAGAAACTGTAGCCCATGGAGAGGAGCCCACGCAGAAGCAGATTTTCTGGCAGGACCTGTGACCTAATGGAGGACTCACACTGGAGCGATCTGTTCCCGAAGGGCTGCACCCCGTGGAAAGGACCCACACTAGAGCAGTTCACGAAGAACTGCAGCCTGGGGGAAGGACCCGCACTGGAAAAGTCTGTGAAGGACTGTATCCCATGGGAGGCACCCCACACAGGAGTGGAGGAAGAGAGTGAGGAAGAAGGAGGAGCAGAGATGAAACGTTCGGAACTGACCACAACTCTCATTCCTCATCCCCCTGTGCCACTCAGGGGAAGGAGACAGAGGAGCAGGGAGTGAGGCTGAGTCTGGGAAAAAGGGAGGGGTTCTATTCTGCTTAACTGGCAATGAATTACATTAATTTCCTTAAGTCAAGTCTGCTTTGCCCATGATGAGAATTGGTAAGTGAACTTGCCATCCTCATCTCGACCCCACAAGCTTTTCATCATCTTTTCTTGCCCTGTCCAGTTGAAGGAGAAGGAGTGATAGAGCAGCTTGATGGGCACCTGGTAGCTAGCCAAGGTCAACTCACAGTGCTTTGTGGGGACCAGTGTGGGGTCTGAGGGATTAGAGATAAGGACAGTAATTGGGAGAGGTAATGGGCAAAATGTCGATTGAACATTCTTAGATAGTGGAATAAGTGTGGGGAATTTTTGTTTTTGTAATTGGGGCAAAGGGACAAGGCATGAAGTGTGTGTAAATTCTCTGTTGGTGTTGTGCTGATGCTATTTTGATTTTGATGTGGGGAATTTTTTGTTGATGTAAATGAAGTTTGTGATGATCATGTGATGAATGTGTATCTGAATAATAGTTCTTAAATACGTGACTCAGAGTTGAGAGGTAGAAAAGGGAGTTTAGACAAATGTTAAGAGATTGATATTGAATTGCCTATTTTCTTGGCTCTTGGTGTGGAAGAACACTTTACTAAGCATTTAGAGGTGTACCTTAGGATTACTGATTAAGAAACAAAATAAACAAAACCAAAAAAACCCCATAAGTTTTCCAAACGAATTTAAGCTGTATAAAAAAAATTAGAGCCTCTGTATTGTTCCATTAAGATCTAAGGAAAGCAAAGATTAATGCTCTGTGCTGTTTAACATATAGCTTAGGGAGTTTTTATTGTGGTTTGTCTTGTACTTTATAAAGAAACTCCCAAGCCCTGATGCTGTAATTTTTCTGAAAAATTGTTCTGTATTCAGAATAAATTCTTGTTTTGATAGGATGTTATGCTTTTTCATATACAAGAGACTGAATAATTTCTCTGAGTGCAAATTTAAAATGTGATCTTAACTATAGAGCTGAAAATGCTGCCTCCGCTAGCTCCTGGGAAGGCTGCTTCCTCATAAATTCTACCTGAAAACAATTATTTGGTTAGAAAAATATTTGCTTTTCTCCTGGCAGTGGCAGTTTTCTTCCATCGTTTCTTAGTTTTCCTGCAAATACCTGTTTTATAAGAATTTAGAGCTCCAGGAAAAGTTATTACTTTATGCAGCAGGAAGTACTACTTTGTGTTGAAGCCTTCACAAGTGGCTAATAGGAATTATGATTAATTTCTTCTTGAGAAAATTACTACTGTAAATGGAATCTGGCTGGTGTTTCTGGAACTAACCGGAGTAGTCTGGAGTAGCTAATGGTCACTACCCTTGAAAGACTGATCAACTATTTTCTTGAAAAAATAATTTGAATAGTGATTTTAAACTTACTAATAAAAGATTTTTATGACAGGGATTGTTGTCTTTCCTAAAGTTCCTACTGTGCCTTGGACAATAGGATTTTAGTCCATGGTTAGTACACCAAGTCACTGTTGTAGTGCATGAGATTTCTGAAGATCATCTTTTGGCAGTTAGGAGGTTGTGTTATATTCTAAAGATTTTTTTTTTTTTTCTTTGTGTATAATCAGTCAAGATGATGCCAAATTTGTACCTCTCTTTAAGACAAATTTACTGTGACACACATGACATTTTATAAAAATCTATGATGGTGGTGTAATGACTGAAGAAGTTCAGAATAAATTTCGAGGAAATTAAATGGTACTGAAATAGGCCAATTCTGTGAAGCCAGGTAACAACCATTTCTGTAATTGCTATTTCTAGCTATTGATTATAACTTATAGTAACTGACTGACATGTGTTGCTATGGTTTCTTGAAAGCTACATACACTAATTGATGTAATCAAATAGAGAGAGAAATAGGATTTGATCTTTTCAAGACTGTGTTTAAAAGCAGTTAACTGATTAGATAAATGCAGTTTATTGCTTGTCCTATCCTACTGAACAAAGTCAAGCTATTTAATGTTTCTGTGTATTGGTAAATAAGAAAGCCTATAGTTTTTAAAATCTACTACTGTGTATAAGCACTAAATTTCTCTATGGAACTCCTAGTACTTTTCAAGAAAAATACAGAAAACTTGCAATTCTTGCAGTCCCGTAGTGGCTATGGAGTTCTACATCTGTACTGCTGACTGTAGCATTGAGCACTTCCAGATGTGGATTATTATTTTCTTTAAGCAATTCTTTATTCTTGTGGAAAATTGTGAGGAATTCATCCTGTTCGAAACAATGGGAGATTGTGCCAAGTACCTCTGTTGTCAAATCTTGATGGAAATCTCACTTTTAACCAACTGCTTTAGCAGATTCAGTTAGTCAGAAGAGTTGGACTTCACCAGAATGTGTTTGTGTACCCCACAGCTGTCAAATTGGTTGTAAGAAAATAATATGTTAATTTCTGCTGCCTGGTTTCATCACAGATTTGCATATTTATATGTGTGACTTGCTCATCAGTGTATCCTTCCAACTGGCAGTGATCTAACCTCTACTAATTGCTTGGGATGAGGAAGAAACTTTCCCATGTGCGGGTTCCCCATAAATGCTTGCTGCAAAAGGGAAGGAAGGGATTCTCACACCTTGTGCTGATATGGGTTACTTTTGCAGGTGAGCTATTGGTCTGGCTTGTTTAACCTTTCCTGTTGTATGATCCTTTTAATTTTACTTGCTTTCAGCCAAAATTGCATTCCATAAATCATGGCACTGTGTATTGTGGCAAAGATACTGTAAAGGTCTTACTAGTTCTTCTGGATGAAGAAGCTGTCAATCCTCCCACCCAGAACAAAGTGGAATTATTATATGATGATGAAAGCTTAAATTTGTTTGGAATCACCTCTGTTTTGACACTCTTCAGGTGAGTATTAGAAGATTTTTGTGTTTGTGTTGGGTTGGTTGATTTGTTTTTAAAGATCTTATACTGAGTAACTAACAAAGAATTGATGTTACTTACACAAAGCAAATGACCACACTGCAGCCTGTTGTGAGGTTGGGTGTAAGGGGAAAGCATTCTTAGAACAGTGTTGAGGTCTCAGAAGTATTCTACTTCCTCATTTACATTTTCTGTATATTCAGGATACTTTTGCCATATGGACTTCTTGAGCCAGTACATTTCTGGGCTGCACAAAACCCACGAAGGAATATCCTTTGCAACAAACCTTTCAAATACTCACCTCAAGTTGAGTTTGAACTCCTGAGTTCAAATACTGTCTGATCAGTAGCTAATTAGATTACTGTTCAATTTGAAGATTCCTCCTTTGTCTAGCTATGACACAACTAATTCTTAGATTATCCTGTTTTCTTCCTACATAGTAATTATTTTGTGGAGACAGTTTTAAATAGCTGAATAGTTTTTCATGTCATGATCCACCAATCAGGATAGTATTGCACAAAGGATGTTGTAACAATTTCATGTGCATGAAGATTTATTAGTAGGGTGTGTAGCTTATGGCATACATTGACTCTGATGGTGAAAGTTGTTTTGGGGGGAGAATCAAATCAAAAGAGGAGGGAGAGGAGAGGAAAGAGAAAGTTATTCCTGGTGCCAGCTGGGGAAGAAAGCAGCTAGGCTTCCCAGACGAGCATCCTCTGAAGTAGCGGTTGGTTCGCCAGTAGAGCTTTCCCCACGTAACTATATTGTCCCCATAAGACCTGCTCAAACCCCTTATTGGCTCTCCTTGCTTTTGGTGCCTCTAGAGGTGATTGGAGCTTTTGTTCGTCAGGGCAGGGGCTGTGTGGCCAGTTGCTTCGTAAGCTCCGTGCACACACATTTTTGAGTTCCCTGACATAAAAGAAGAGCTACAGTGAAAGGGGTAGGAGAAGTGGGGAAGAAGGGTGTGTTTTTATGCTGGTGGCAGTCCTTTTCCATGAGAAGCCACCATAACACCACTATCGGAGTGCGCAGGTGCAAGTCTGTGAGGATAACAGCAAGGGAAGAGAAAAACAGTGACAGGTCCTAAATTGGAAGATGGAGGATTCTAAAAGTCGAAGAATTTAAGGGTTCCATTAGATTTATCATTCAACCTCGTTTATGAAACCAAAGGAACAAGCACATTCTAATAAAACTTTTAAAAAATTAGTTTCACTAGTAAGAATTCTAAATAAATCTGTAATAATTTTTAATCTAAAAGGCAGCTTATCACAACATATTGTGGAATATTTCTTTCACCTCACAAGTATCTGTGGATAGTTGTAGCTATACATTTCTATTTCATTGTGTAACAAGCTTAAAATAACCCTGACTTTCAGTCTCTTATTTTTCTATTACTTCAGATTCAAGAATATTGATCCACATTACTTTTAAAATTGTTTCATTAGTTTAATAAACCTCACTGTGGTTTTATTTTTATCAAAATGAATGGGAGCTTAATCAGATTTAGGTTAATGTTCTACGTGAATGGAATCAAAGCCCACCCTAATTCTTCTGAATTAAAGACTACAATTATTCACAGCTAGAAATGTTGATTTTTTTTTTTAATTTATTATTATTTTTGTAAAGTAACTTTTTAAATTAAAATGAGTTTTAAATCACTTATTTCCAAATAAGAGTGCCCACTGAGTACTTTGGTTTCACTTACCTCATTTGATTTAATTTTCAGCTGAATTAATTTTCTTAACTTTTCCCCAAAAGCAAAAGGCATTTGTTTGACTTAAAATCTAGATGTAGGTGTTAGCATGTACCGCTATCTGCAAATGTATATTGTAATCTAGATAATTCTTGGGTTTTCCTTAGTAATTCTTAGTGGTCAATTTGTTTTAGCTTTTATTTTCCAGTATATTTTACTTTTAATATTATGTCTGTGCTTCCATTTAAAAATTTTACTTAGAAGTAATTTATTCAAAGTATTGAATTTATGATCCTAAGTAATTTTTTTAGGAATAAAAAACTTGGCAAAAACTGAAATGAAACCTGCTAACAACACCTGTTCCCAATTTTTGTCAAATCTTTATATTCTGCATATCCCTACCAGCTTTACTGTAAGGTTCCAATTGCTTTATGAATGCTGAACACCTTAATGCTACACAGGATAGTAGCTAAGGTGTCAATCGGGTTTGCGTCAGCACACAGGCACCTCAATGGTACAGCACTTTTTTATTAATGCTTACATCCCAAATATTTGATGTGTTTTGCAGTCCTTTTGTCAATCTCTTGTTGATAGAAAATCTGGAACAGTGTACAGAATAAATGGCAGTACTTCTGGTAGTAAACATTATTGCAGTATTCAGATGTTTTTTGCTAATCTGATTCTGTGTATTAGTTACTCACCTCATATGGTAGTTATTGTTTTATGGGTTTTGATCACACGATAGTTACTGTTTTGAGGTTTTTCACAATACTTTTTGTTATTTCTAAAGATTTCATTACTGAAGAATACCAATTTTTTTCTAAAGTTTGTGAGTAGTGACTAGTTTTGTCTGGGTTCTGGTCACTTTGATAGATCACTGTTTTTTTCCAGGTGAAGACTGAGATTAAATGAGAGCACCAGCACCTCTTTTTCAAAACTTCAGCAATCCAGGAATTTCTCCTGCTTTGTTTTAATATTCTTCTAATACATTTCTAGATCAATTGGGTAGATTTATTTCTTTGCACTGAAATCCTGCAAAAAAGCTACTGCTGAGAAGCTGCTATTATGTTGTTTAAATTTTGCTGGCTTTCTTTAATTAGAAGTATTTTAATTGTAATTTGTGAAATGCATGCATATTTGGAAACTAAAACTGCACTGACAATATATCCTCAGTGTTTTAGAACATCCTAGCCAAGTTGAAGGGTTTTTTTTTGTTTTGTTTTGTTTTGTTTTTTACTTGATCTGTCCTTTAGCATATCTGTCAAATATTTTCCTTCTGTAATCACTTCATTTCAATCTCATGGAAAATATTCTTTTTAGATATGCATTATAGAAGTTCAAATAAAATTCTCTTGCTAGTTTTTTTATATTTTAAAGCTGCATGCAAGGCAGAAGTATGCTATATTTCTCAATTTATTTTTAATTTTTTTAAGCAAATTAAAAATGTAGTGATGATATTGAAATCAAAGCGTAGGTGATTCTGATATAATTAATGATATTATTTATGTTTTAGAGTTAAATTTTCCATGACCATGGATTAAGTATTTTCATGACTCTGCAGTAAAAGTTCTCCTTTTCTGGTTTTGCAAGCTAAGCAGGTATTCACGGTTTGGGGCAACTTTTTTGTTTGCTGCTGATTTTTTATATTTTTCCCATCATCTTCCTATCCTATTAATGTTAAAGCCAGTCATTACTTCTTATGCTTTTCTTGTTTTTAGAAATTTTATTCTATTTAAGGAACACCCATGTTTGGAGTACAAAATAAAGAATCTCTTGAAAACCCATTTCTGTGAGCCCTGAAAAGGAAACTAACCTGTCCATGTGCTGGAGAAGTAGTGATGATTTAATCAGTTGCTTATACTGAGGAATTGTTAGTTGCTGGAAAAGTGTGCTGCTGAGAATTTTGTCATTATGGTTTACAAAGGGGATTCATGAACCAGAACAACAGCATGGATGAGAGCATGCTGAAGCTACATATTTTGGCATTTTATATAGCAAAACCATTGCAAAGTCCTGCAGAAATTTTGTACCACAGACAAATGGAAATAAATAAAATAAACGTTATTTATGGAATAATTGAATAGAATGAACTAAATAAATAAAACAGAATGAGTTACATTTGAAAAAACTGTCCTCATATGCACACTGGCCTGCCGTGATCATAAACAGAGAAGTAAATAATTACAGATGCAGAGATTAGTTCTTCCTATTTCAAGACCAAAAAATCCCCTCTTATATGCATCAAAATTTTTCATTAGTTTACATAACTATTCACATACTGTAATCTGGGAGGGTGGAAGCATTTTGTTTGTGTGAGTACTTCTACTGAAAAGTCTGTAAATATGAGGAAAATTATTCTGAATGTCAACCAGATGCTATTCAAGGGGGTGTAAGTAGAATGGCGACTTGGTAATTCATCACCAGCATTGCAAATAATAATGCTGTGGCTGCAGAACAACAGTATGGTAAACATGCTGAAAAACGATACCAGAAATTGGAACTGTAGGTTTGGTTCCGTTATGCTGTCTTCAGTTGTCACGGTACATGTGGTTACTTAGGAAGGGAGAAAACAAAGTAAGGCTTGGAGAGCGAAGGTAATTTCCTCCCTGTTTAAGGAACTTGGTATGGTAACTATTCTTCTTAATTAATTGCTTTTACATGTTGTAAATACTTCTTATCTCTTTTTAATATAGATCTCCAATGCAATCCAATGGATCTTCTCCAAAACCTCTTAGACAACGTATTCAGAAATCTAAGGATGAAAAAAATATTAAGGTATTGTGTGGCAATTGCTATGAGACTACAGATGCACTGAAATAATAATGCTAAACTGAAAAGAATAGTGTTTAAATTCTCAAATACTTTGCTGAAATGTATCTCATAGCTAAAGAAATGTAACTGTGATTAACTTGTGGTAGTTGGCCCAAGTCAAACAGTGTTGTAATAAGAATGGAAATATCTAAAATGCCAGAAGAGAGGCTTTAAACTTAAAAGTACTTTTGAATGAAGATGTCTTAATTGGAGATACACTGAGTTAATCTGTATCTCTTCATTTAACCATCTGTGTATTTCAGGACTATAGAAATAAAACTGAAGCCATGTGAAAACAGAGATGAAACTGAACACAGGCATCTAATTTCAGTTCTGATAATATAGACAGTCTGAAAGTGTAATAACAACATTTTCATTGCGTTTGGGGGGGGGATTCTTTTTATTTGTGACATTCTGAGGACATTTCCATTACATTGCATTGTGAACAGTAAAATAAAGATGCTAATGTTTGCTATTTTGTAGATGAAATGGAACATTGCAAGAGTATGTTGATATTGTAAATGTCACTAATCAAAAGAACTTCAATGTTTCTGAAAATTGCAGTCTTCCAGTGTGCTGTATTTTACATAGTCTTTTTTCCTCAAAATTGTCTAACCTGCATGTTGGGAGTATGGAAAGAGGCAGAGCTTGTATCTTCCACAGCATTTCAACAGAGAGCTAAATCAAAGTAGTGGCTTAATATTTTTTACAAACTTGGTCCTGACAACAGGTAAAACCACAAGTATAGTAAGTATATAAGGAAGAAAACAGAGGTGCTTTAGGCCATCAAAATTAGGTCTAGAACAGCACAATATCTTTCTGCCACTGGACATGAAGGGAATTTTAATGTATTACATGTCTGAGAAGGTGAAAGTTATTAAAAGGAAGTAAAATGAAAAGCACTGTCAGTATTTCCAGCATGTGTTTTAAATATACTCCAACTTAATGCTGAGTGATTTTTTTGGAATGAGGGTGGGGTGGATGATGGGAGTTTTGGGTACCTGCACTAATTATGGTGAAATCTAGCTTAAAACTCATAGGCAAATTATGAAAGATTGAAGCTGATAAAGGATCTTCATTATGTTACTTTTACAATAAACAGCATATGTAAATTGCAGCTTTACTCATCAAATAGCAAAAATGTGATGTGATGGTTGCATAATACATTGAAATAGAGAGTTTTCTTATCTAAATTGAATTTTGTAATTGAATTCATGAACAGCTGTGTTCAGTATCAAAGTACAGAAATTATTATTGAAAAGTAATTACCTGTCACATTTGAAACCTTTACTGGAAACTTGCAAGGTTTTTGACAGAATCTGTCAAAATATAAGTCTTTAGACTGTTTCATATTATGAAATGATTTTAACTTTTTTGGAAATACTTTTTTGCTAATTAACAATACCAGATTAGCTAACATAATTTCTGTGTAAATAGTAGTTCCTTCTGATGTCTGTGAATAATTTGAATGAGTTCTCCTTCAGAAGCAGGAATTGCAGGCAAAGGTTCATCATGACACTCTCCTGCTCTGCTTTTGTAGTTCCTGACTCTAATAAGGGTTCTGCGACTCCTATGATCCTTGTTAATACAAGAATCTGACTTTTTCTATAAGACACTTGTCCTAGTCTTCACCTTGATTGATGAAATAGAATGTACCTGTAGCAAAAGAGAATTAAACATCTAATGGTTTTAGCCAATAAATTTTGATATCTTTCAATCAACTTCTAGAACTGATTTTGATATTCATCAGGTGCCTAATATAATTGGGGATGAATATAGTGAAATATAAATGACCTTTTGTCTTATGAAAACTAAAATTCGAAGAGAACAAGCAACAGGTATAAAGTCTGTGATTCACGGTTGTAAACTTTCTTTGGCATCTTAGAAGACTGTAAATTTTGCTTTTTAGTGTTATCTATTGTGGATTAAATCTGTGATGGATGGGCCCTGGTAAAGTAAGGGAAGAATGTTTATGGTAATGTGATTGAGATGTTAAACTGAATGTCTGCTTGGGGCTATACAACTCATATCTTAGAGCAACATTAAGGCTGCTAATCTGCCTCTACTCATCACAGTCAGTTGTCTTTATGGTTTTCTTCCAGTGTATCTTATTGTACCAGAGAAATAAAGTACAGCATGGAACTGAGGCCAAATATCTCAAGATGTTTTTCCATTTAAAAAAGTGAAAATAAAAATAATGAAATTCAGAGTGTAAATGTTCCTCAATTATGTATCAGCATAGAGTTGTCTTACTCAAGATAAAACAGCTGAGTGTTTCACATTATGCTTGCAATTCTCTTTTCTGTGTATCAGCCAAACATTGCCATCTAAACTACATTATATTCCTGTGAAGTCTGGAATTGTTATTCTGGTGTTCCTATGTTCATTTTAGTCTTGCTTCTCCTTCCAGTTAACTGAAATAGCTGTTGCCAAACAACTAATTACTTTTCTAACTAAAATTCAGATAGTTCTCCGTCCTCACAGAAAATCCTGATTTCTTTCTTGAAATGTTCATCTTTCATTTTGCCTTTTTCTCATTTTCTTTCTACCTTTCTAACAATTGCTACAGAGTTTCTTTTGCATGTTTCTACTTCCTTTTCTTCCTTTTCCTATGAAGACTTTGGGGCCCTCTCTTTCTTCTGTTCTCTTTCTGTGCCGCCTTTGTGGATGAAGGCATCTACCAATAGAAGTTCAGCTATCATCTTTATACAAACAGTTCACAGATCTACATTTTGACCTTCTGTCAAAACTGACATCTTTTGTTACTTCTATACCACCCTGTAAATACCCAGCTGTTGAACTTGAGGTCGTATGTCTATCTTTCCTGATATATTTAACATTAACAGGTAGGCTATGGTCCTCACTTTTCCACTCCGTGATGCCCCGGGAAAGTGTTCTTCTCTATCAGTATGTCCACTCAACTATAGTTTATTAAATTGTTTGCTTTTTGATGTGCTGCCATGTATTTTTCTTGGACTTGATAGTTACAGCGTTGGACTATATGTCTTCACTGGGATTGCTGTACCAAAATTTGTTATCAAAGTGATTAGATGCTAGATGCCATTCTTCTGTTTTCATCTCAATCTGTTCCTTTAAGTTGTAGCACATACAAGGTAGTTGCTTTACCTATCCCCACCCATTGATTATTTCGGATTTGCTGCATTGAAATATCTGTCCTTGCTTACATTCAGCCTGCAATACCAGCCTTCATTATTCATTTGTTAATTTTCAGACTAGCTCTTTCAGCTGTCTGTTTTATACTGTTTCTTAAGGCTAAAAAGATTTCCTATAGGTACCTGCAGAACTCATTACCCTCCTTTAAAACCTTTTCCAGTACCTTTAAATCAACCTCTCCCCAAAACTTAGCAGTGCTTTGTGTTGAGATGGACGCTTATTACAATGACTAATGTTAGTTCCTTTCTCTGTGCATCCGTATATTTCTTGTCTTGGATTGTAATATCTCTTGGTAGAAATAAATTGTGTTCTGTCTTTACTGTGCAGCGCATAGCACAATGAATTCCTTGTCCGCGACCATAGATCTCAAGTGTTGTAGTAATATTTACCACCTTCTTGCACTGAGTATCAGTCTTCAATATTATTTCATACAACCATCTTGACACGTGTACAGTTTGCTTGTAAAATTCACAATTGTAAGTTTTGTTATGCATAATGCACTCATTTTAACTATGAACTCAGAAGAGATAACATACGTTTATTTTTTGAATAAGACAATAGCAACATGATGATTCTTCTCAATGTCAATGATTCTTTTGAGAAGTTTCTTATGCAATGTGTGTGATGGTAGCATTAATTCCATAAAATTTTCCAAAGGACCTTTTTACCGTGCTGCCTTTTATAGATAGTCTATAGAATAAATTCATGATCTCTCATTAGAACTTGTCCCGTAAAAGTCTCCTTTTCCATTATATTTGAGAGGGGAAGAAAAACACAGTAGTGATTATTAGTTTGCCTGTATGATGAGTTTCATCAAGATGTGTGTGTTGAATAAAGAAATTTAGGAAAATTTAGAAAGTGAAAGGAGAAACACTTCTCTTAATTAAAAAAAAAAAAAAAAAAAAGAGAGAGGGGAAAAGAATCACATTATGCCCCCTCCTTTCTTTAAGAGGCACTGATCTCTCAACTTCTGCAGAATTATGTGGAGAAGTGCAGATTGATAATATTTAGACCCAGGACACAACATCATGAATATGTGTTTAGTAACTAAAAATATGGAGACTGGATAAAGCAAACACGTAACTATGAACTGGAATTCATGTTTAAAAATAAAATAAATCTGTGGGTATTTCCATTGTGCCAACACAAACTCCTGGCAACAGTGAAAGACAAAGAAATATTTTTGTCTTTCAATCCTCATTAAATAGTGGAAGAGTTGCAGAAAGATCACCTAGCTGTAACGGCATTTGGTATGAGGCAAAGCTGTCGCTTTTATCCCTCAAGGAGAAAGAGGACCAGGGATCTAGCATGTTGCATTGTTTCATTCCCTCCAGAAGAAGCAGGTAAAAGTAATAATAAGAAGCTCAATCTTCCTTTGAGAGACAATTTAGAGTTTCAAGTTTGTTATCTGTTGTTTACATGAAGTGTCTTCTGGTTAATGGCATTTTGTGGAAGGAGTCTTTAATTCAGGAAGGTCTGGGAAACATCTATTGGGTTATGTCTCTTGCTGTCAGTTGTCCTTATCACTTCTTTCTGCTTTATGAAATATGTAGAAATTTTAATTGGACAGGAGGGAGGTATTTTATCTAAAAAGGATTCATGTGACCTTATGTCTGCTTCTTTGATTCTTGCTTCCATTTATCATGATACGGGTACATACTGTATTGTTTGACTACTTTATTGTTGTTTTCTATGGGGGTTTTGCAAGTACTGCATGTTGGTGTGAGAGAGGAATGGAAGGACTGTTACAATCACCTGCTTTGTTTAGGTTAAAGAGCAACTTGAGACCGTAAAAATGTTGCGTAATAGGATTTTAATATTTCTTTTGCATCAGAAAAGATTAATTTGACTTTCAAGTTGTAGGTAAAATACTGTTTCTGAAGTAATGGAACTGGGTGAAACTGAGAACGTGTAGCAGTTAAGAAGGAAGGAACAAAAGCTGTGAGCATGCAATCCATGAGAGAGTAACAGAACTTTTTTTGTAAATTTAGGATTGTGCTGGCCTTTTGATACATTGTTTTAGAAATCCTGCTGCTTTGTTAACACATTCACCCTGAAACAGCTGCAAGGACTTTCAGTAGTTTGACATGTTTTTTTCTTAATGTAACTGGAGACAACCTTTCCTATATGAGGCACTATTTCCCTCCAGTTGGGAACATAACTGTAGTTTTAGTTTTAAAAAGAATTTGTGGCTTAAGAACTCTAACAAATCTTGGCATGCTTGAGTTCATTGAAATTTTATTGTGTATAGAAATCCTTCCAAGGAAAAAGCTCCATAAAGCAAAAATAAAGCAGCCTGTCTTTCTCATGTGACTTGTTCATGCCTATATAAAATGCCTTAACATCTAGCTTCATGCACTGCTGTTATTTTTCATTCCTTAGTTCTCTAAATGCTGATACTTGAGAGAATTGTTTTGCCTATTTGTGATTCCAGTACAAATAAACTGTGACTTGGAAAACTATCAACAGGAAGTTATCAGGAGTTTTCTGTATGCCCACTATAATTGTGAGCAGAAACTTCATAGTAATAGAGAAAATAATCTTCCTCAGTTAGTAGTCTCATCTATTATAGCAAGAAATATTTATTTATAAGTAGAATATGATTATGGAGAACAATAAGCTGACTAGTAGTTTCAGTGTGGATGGAGTATGCTAAAAATGAGCATGTGGAGGAAAGAAAGGGAGGGGAGAAAAAGGTTATGTTCAGCACAAAATCTGAAGAAAAACTTTCTTAGTGTCAGCTGATAAACTACACTTGTGTAGAAAATACCATTTTTGTTTCTACGAGACCCCTAACCTACTTTCCTAGGATCCTTAGGTGTGAGTTTTGAGTTCTTCCAAAATCTAATAATGAGATGATTTGAAGCTAAATGTTCTAAAAACAGTGGTAGGTTAATTTGGGATAGCAAAGGCTAATACAATGTCATGCTAAAAAAATTTGATAGTTTCAATGCAATAAAAATTTACTATTACCTGAGCTATTCAGAACATTTTTCAAGTTTCAATAACATGATGCCTTGATTTAGGCAATGATACTTGACATTTATTGTTTTGCTAGTCTTCCCTTTGCAATCCTTTCCTTTTTTCAGCTTTCTCTTTCAACTTACCTTTAATATTTTTTTCTTTTCTAAAAGGACAAGGGTAAGGGTGGAGCAAGGACATTTTCTCTTTTTATCTCTTCCACTTTCAAATAGTACTTTAATTGTTTGGCTAGAAAATAAAAACATGTGTTTGTTGTTACTGATGTAGGTTTTCAATTTCTATTATGCCATTCCAGTGTACAAAAAACCAATCTCAGCATTCTTAGTGACTAAATATTGGCAGTGCTACCTGTGTGCAGATGCTGGAGGGAGATCTGGAATAGATTGTCAACTAACTTTTAGAGCGTGCACCATTAATATTTCATATAAATGTAAGTGTTTTATATTGTCATCTCAAGCAACTGAAAAACTTGTCTAGATATAGAAGTCACAGTGCGAGAATGTCCTGATTTATCCACTCATTAGGACTACTAATTGACCTACATGTGCTGAAACACTGTCTTAAATTTTGTCATACTTTCTTCCAGCTGAACAGCAATAACAGGGAACCACTTTTTCTGAAATGCAGCAGAATTTCTTTCTTTGTATAGGGTTAATGGCAACATCCCACTTGCTTGTGAAGAGGAGAGGGGATAATAAGTCTGAGTTCATTGCATGCCAACCGTGTCCAACTACTTGTTTAGTAAATTGAGCTCCCAACATCTTTTTGCTCATCCCAGAGTAATTGGGGTGGTGCCCTCAAAGTGGATTTCAGGGAATTTAATGTAAAAGGAATCTAATTTCTAAGAACTATTTCAAGCTGTTGACAGGCTTCATTATGGGTGCTTCAATCAAGTTTTAAGTTGCTCTTTTTTCTTTAAAAACATTCCAATAAAGTTCTACTTTGTATTACCTACTTTAATTAAGTCTAGTTTGTTAACTTACAGTAAATGTTTTAAGTACAGAATACATTAACACTTTAAAAAGATTAGAATTGTTGGGAGTCAGGCTGGTTGGTTTTCTCTGTTAAATCTGCCTTTCTTAAGCTATTATCTGGCACAGAGAAATTGCAGTTTGGGAGTGATGGACAACTGGGAAAACTAGGTCTTTTTAACTCTTGAAGGGAATACTGAGTTTAAAGTTAAAATGTATACATACAGACATATTAATTCAGAAGAAATAAGTTTCTGTAAATAAATGGGATTTTTTTTTTTCCAAAAGACTAGTTGTGTTCAGCTAGCCAACTGCAGAATCATGAAGAGATGATTAGGCTGCGTCTCAATGATAAAAAGCTAGAGTCTGTTAGTTTATATGCATTAAAACAGTGTCTGATGGAAGTGACATAAATTTTGACTGAATTTTGTGGATGAAGGCCCCTGTGAAATAAGGTTTCTGGGAATATCCTCTTTTCTTTCTGTATAAATCTGAGATTTTGAGTAGGAAGAAAAAGATATCTAAGAGTCAAACCTGAACTGTAAGATTTAAATGTGCTTGTGATAAGAAGAAAAGTAGACTTAAATAATGAAAACGTTTTAACCAGAGACGTAGCTGTAAGTGTGTTATTCGTCAAATCATTCCTGTTATCTATACAGTAACAATTCTTTTATACTTTTACTTTATGACAGTGTTTCTAGGTTTTCCTATTTCTTGATATTTGTATTGTGGCACCTGTGCAGGTCAAATTTATTTGAATTCACCTGTGCTGTTGTAATAGAATTATTAGCTAAAAATCCTAATATATTGTAATTATCTGCTCTGTGCTATACCTTTCAGCACATTTTGTATAATTCAGCAGACTTTAAAATGGAAGTGAGGGCAGAATTTGTCTTGCATAGTTTATAGCATTTGTGATAAATTGGTCAGAAAGTACAAAGTTTGACCCTGAAATTCTAAGCTGATATGAAACTGTAACTTAAGTGTAAACTGAGGAAGTTTGACCTGTAACCGCTGATTCTGTTAAATATGGGTATATTTAATAAATTGAAAATTTGTATTTAATCTTTTGAAGTTGAGCCACATATTTTGATTTACCTGTGATATGAGACAAGGTTCACTACTTCCAAGACTAGGAAGATTTGAGCATGCAGAGCCAGATACAATATTTTTTTTTCAATACTGTAGATTTCTGGCAACTTACTCTGTATGGGTATGTTTTGACAAATGTTGAGTTAAGACATTGGCATTCAATGAGCAAATGGCTTTATTTTGTGGGTAAATGGGAAATCTGAAATTTGCCAGAGAAAGATCTGAAATAATACTTTATATGCCAGTTTTAGGTATAAGTATGTTGAAGCTTACTGTCTATCATTCCTTTTCAGAGTTTCTATTATGCTTTCCTATATGTATAAATTGGTTAAGTGGTGAGACTTATCCTATACCTGGTATTTATAAACTGACATCTCAAAGGTGATAACCTGCAGAAGTATGATAATTGACTGTAGTAGCTAGGATGGATACTCAAAATGGTAAAGTCTTCAGTCTATCAAAAGAGGGGGCTAACTTTGACAGAAAATCCTAGGTTAGAGCTTTAAAAGTTAATGTGTAACTTTCTGAAAGATGAAAAAAGATTTTAAAATTACTTTAGGACTTTAATAGAATAATTTAATAGAATTCTTGGCCTTTACACTTTGTAAATTAGATATTAATATTTTTTTTTTATGTAAGCATACTCATTTTTCTGGTATTTTATGTGATCTAAAAGCTTTCAAGACAGAAAAATGGGGAAACTTGTTATCTTGCAGGTTTTATCTTTTACTTTTTTAAATAATTAAAGCTAATACCAGATTTCTATTTGCAGGGGAAACAATCTTCAATCAAATCTCAGTTTGCATGTACATATAAAAATGACTTGAGTGAAATAAAGGGTCAGCATTTCCTCAGCAGTAGCCAAATACCAACCTGCATAGATCCTGCACCAAAGCAACATTTAAAAGCTGGGTATCTCACAGGTAAGATGTAGTAGGATTGAATAAGTAAATGTGATAGCTGATATTTCAAATGTTATCAAACAAGGCTTTAGTAAAACTAAAGTATAAATATGTTTTGAAGAAAAAAATAGCCATGTCTTATCGCTCTGTGTATGCTATGTCAGTTAAATGTCTTTGCATTAAAATTGTAAAGCTAATGCCTTGAATATAAATCTGTTTGGAAAATATGTCGAGTCTATCTTTTATTATTAAAATAATAAATTTTATTATTAAATAATTTTATGATTAAAATAATAAAATTTACATAATTATGTAACGTTTCTTCTTATTTTACAAAAGTAAGCCAAGTGAAATTTGCATTTTTGCGATTAAAAATAGGGAAAAATTTGTTTTACTCGACTATAAACCATGTTATATGTATAGCTTCTAGGTCCTTCTAGCATCTTTTCTAATACCTTAAAGTTATAAATCCACTTCCCTAAGTTAGTCGCTATTACGTGGTTTTGAGCAATGTCATTTTAAATTGGCAGTACACTTATGAACACATAGCAAATGTAACTGCAATGACCAGCATCATTTTGCTTTATTGATAAATCAGTAGTTTTGATTAAAAAAATCATATGACAGTCCTCTGATAGTAAAAGAATGAATAATCCCAGGTGACTTTATTTCTTCACATATGTTTTTGATATTCTTACATGACAGAAGGTATGAATTCATGTCTTGATGTACCAGTACTTGGAACTATTTCTGAAAATGTTCACCAGAGTAGAAGTTACACAGAAATGGGAAAGCTGAGTTGTCAGCCAAGAAATGAGAATTCCAAGAATGAACAGATGGATTTGAATAATGACAAAGTAATCCGTGATAAGGAAAGTGAACCATCTTTGCAAAGAAATGCTAAAAGACCTAAGACTTCAGACAACCCTTGGAAGGAATTGGACAGCAAAATCAGTGGAAAAAAGAAACACAGCAAAACTGCAAGCAAGAATAAATTGATTGCTGGTCAGGCAAAATTAACTCAATTTTTTCGACTGTAGATTTTCATTTTGACATACATGGTATGTTGACTGGTTCAGAAGTTGTAAAATTTTGCGACAGAAGGGTAAAATTCATTAATTGCTTCCTTTCATACTGAAATAAGTGGAAGTAGCTTGTGTGTAATATGAGACAATTACTTAAAAGTCTGGATTATGCAGAAGTCTTTTATTTTTTTATAACAATACATCATTAGTAATTACAACTATGGTTTTTTTAGTAATGAATTATGCTTCCCTCTACAATGTGATGGGAAAGTACTTTTGGATGCATATGTATAGCCACACTAAAACACAGTAACTTCAAATTAGATTAAATTCGTAATAAAATGCTTAATCTTCAAAGAAGGTGGTGTAGATCAGTATTTTTCAGACTTGCCAACAAGGTCGATAGACTCTTCCAAGCATACACCTGAGCACTATAGGGAAAAAAATCTGAGAGTTTAAATCATCAAAGAACTAGAATTCTTTATGGCCTCTGGAAATACTAATTTAACAAAATTAACAATGTTTCTTCTTCTGTGCACCAAATCACAATAGACACGGAGTTTCTAAATGAAATTTTATCAAATTGATGTATAGATAATGCATTATACTTTACCAGAATTAAATCATTTTTATGTAAAAATGAAAATATACTTACTGTCAAAATCCCTTCTTCCTATGGGGAATTTAGCTGAGTTTTCTTCATCTGCAGTCTCTCTTTCCTGTATTGATTCAATATTTTGAATTTCAGTGTCAGCTGGAAAACCCATGGCTCCCTTCAGTGCAAGATAAGGTAGTTGCTTTCTGCCTAAGTTGATTGGCATAACATGATTTAAGAAATCATGTCTGGAACCTGTGTCCTGTTTTAAGGGAAAACAAGATTAGCAGTTTATCTTTATTTGAAGTCCATTGTGTTCACTTTTTATACTTAGAAGTGCAAGTGTTTTATCTTCCAAGATGATATTTTAAAAGTAATGACCTGCATTACATCTTTGGCTGAAATGGTTTTATGGTAGAGAACATGATAAAATAATGAGTCTTATATTTGGTGAAGTTAAAAGCCTGTTGCTGAAAATGGGGACATGCTGAATCAAACTTTTTTTTCCCTACAAGTTTTGGCTGCATATGGTTCTGTAAAAATCAGATTTCTTTTATTCAACTCTCCAAGTTACACATTTAAAATCTTGGAATTACATATTTATAGTTGAAAATTTATTCTTGACTATAGTATGCTAAACTGATGTTTTTGTATATTCACCAGATTATTGCTTTATTGTATTTGTTTTCTAAGTCTATAGAGAAAATTTCCATTTTACAATTAAACCAAACCGTCAAACTGAAAACTCACCAAAAACTTCATATTTTTGTCATCCTCTTCATCCAAAATACCGCTGTCTTCAGCTTTATAATGCTTCAGAAAAGGTATACCTCCTCTATGCACAGTTCTATCTCCATTTTGAAGAGTTTTTCCTAGTTTTAATGTGGTTAGCAACATATCTTCATCTTCTACCTTTTGCAGAGTTTTTGAAACTGAGAGTAGAAAGCCTTGAGAAAAAACAGAGAGAATTAACATGTATGATGAGATATACATTCTTAGTTACTTAACGCTTGAATAGAAGTTAAGCAGTTTTCAAATTCTAAGAAAGCTTTTCCAGTTGTAGATTAATGTCATCCATCTATGCACACTTTATATATTTTACAGATTGAATGGAAACTACTTCAATGGCTGATGAGTTCACGCTTTAAAAATGACTCATATTAAAGAGTAACCTTTTCTATAATCCTTCTAATCCCATCTGTTGTTTAGAACTACTTAAACCTTTCTTTAGCATGGAGAATTAGTTTCTTTATATGTTTTTAGAACAGCACAGATTAGTTCCTTTTGATGGATCAGTATAACAAAGATCACAGAAAAGGTGATGTCCATTTGTGTTGTTTATAAAGCCTTACCTCCAGTTAAGACAATTTAAGAAAAAGAACAAATCTACATAAGTAAGCAGGACTGTTGTAAAGGTGTGATCTATCATAGTTTTTGATCAAAACTGATTCACTGAGAAGTCAGAAAGCTTGAAATTTAACAATAGTTGAGACTGCTACTGTGTTAAAGCTGAAATCATTCATTTGTACTTTGATATCAGGTTACATTATTCAGAGCTTATGTCTAGAAATCTTTACTAATACCTAAGTAATTGTATCTGTCTGCATTTTCTTTCTGAAGATAGACCTTTCCCAGCTACAAGTATAATATAGTCATATATGCTTGCTAAGAATGTAGAAAGAAAAGTAAACTTCAGTTTTTCATTTTAAGTCTTTGAAGTCTACCTATTAACCTGTGGAAGGAAATGTAGGAGTTGCTGAATAACACTTTTTTTTATTATTTTTACTTTATCTTGAAAGCAAATGGGGCCAGATCAAATTTAGCTAATCTCTTAATGTCAGTGATACAAACCATCTATTCAGTGCCTGTGTTCTGCTTAGCTCGTACTCATCTCTTAAATTCATCTTTGTTTTAACGTTTAGGTTAATGCAGGGAACCAAACATCCTGCTAGTCAAGGCAAACCACTAGGAGACTGACCAAGAACCTCCCTGCTTTTCCATACTGTCATACACTAGGAACAAAATGTAAAGTTTTATTAGCAAAAGTGATTTCTTAGTGATTTTTTTTTTTTTTTAATGCAATAGAAAGTATTTAAGCAAGCTTAACAAATCATTTTACTGAATATTAAAATAGTGCATAAGTACCTGGTCAATATTAATTTGTCCAGTAGCATACTACTTCTGAATTTCAAAGGTGGTAGTTTTTGTTTGTTTTGTTTTTAATTTGTATCTTGTAAGTTTTATATAAACATCTGTATTTCAGCCCTTTTTGAGTGCAGTTAGAAGATATTTGTCATTTGAACTAAGAGCCACACATACTGAGACTTTGGAAGACTAATTTAAAACCAAACCCAAACTCTTCATAATGTACTTTTTCATTTGCATGACTCTCTAGTAGCAGAGAAGGAAATGCAGACCACTTTTCTCATCCCTACAGAGTGTAAAAGCACATATATTTGCAGGACACTTAAAACATTTGTATAGTTTTGATTAACAACATAGCATTTTCTTACCTTGATAAGTAACTGAATGTATTGAATTTTTTGTATTAGAAAAAAAAGAAATCTGGAGCAATCATTTTATTAAGAGATCCATTTTGGCATTAGAGTTAACAATATATATTGTGCGTTGTGTCAGATGCTTAGGTGAATCTGTTTTAATTTCTCAGGCATATTTTTTTTGCCTGTTCTTTTTTCTTATGATATTGGACAGAGTAAAAAGAATAGTCTGGTGGTATTGGTTTGTACGTTTTGTTTATTGTTGATAGAAATGGAGGTAAAAGAATTCCAGAAAAGATTTATTTTCTTAAGAATTGCAGTTCCTTCTCCAGCCTTGAAGAGGAATCCTAGATTTTCTATAGTGGTTTTGAGGTAGCCAGTTGTTTGTTTAAACTAGAATGTAAATGAAACCTAGCAAGCACATTTGTCAAGCTGGCTGCAGCTGGTCAGTGGGAAGTAACGAGGTTATGAGTTGTACCTGAAATCCAACGCCTTCGTGGATCTTAGCTCCATCACTTATATATACATCCATACATTTGCTCATTTTGGACCAAGAGCCAGGAACTTTCTCTTGAAGGTGGATGCTCTTTCCTGTGGGTGACCTTAGCACCTCTTTCTAGACTACCTTAAATACCTAACATGGGTGTGTTAGTTCCACCCCTAATCCAACAAGCAAGTGTTAAAGTGGAAATTCCCTGTGCTACTAATGGAAAGAACTTCCCATCAGCAGTTCACAAGACATAACAGAGGTAATTAGAATACTTCATTATTGTCTGTATAAAATTAGGACTTTTGCCTAGCAACAATTCGTTGTTCATCCCTGTTGAATTGGTAGTCACCTAGAACCAACAAGATGATTTAGCATGAAGTAGTCACTATGTTGCCTATAACAGGACAGCCCTGGATTTGTGCAGGAGCACAGCTCTAAATATTTGGAGAACTTGAAGTCATCTTCTGTTTATGTGGCAGGAGAATGTACAGGGAAAGGGTGGTGACATGTGGAAACAAACTTTACAACTCACAAAAAGAGAGTTATAAAGCAGGTATATTTATTTCAGCTCTGGGTGCAAGGGGGATCGCTCCTCCGAGCTTGCACACCGTATCATGAAGCAGGCATCATTTATGATACAAAAACATGCACATTCATTAGTATAGTCTGGGTTATTACAATTAGTTCTAAGAATAGGCATGATTATTATAATTATTTCCCGGAACTCATTATCCTAAGTCTCCTCCTGTTGCCGCATGCGCATTGCCATCCGGTGGTCGTGGGCCAGGGTCTTTTGGAGGAAGGCTCGTGGTCTTCTTCACCTTTCTCCCAGAATGCTGAGTAACTTCAGCCAGTAACTGCAAAACTGGCTCCAACCAGATGGCTCCTTGCAGATGCCATAATTAACGGATGGATATCCTGTTATCTTTCAAGGCCTCTTATGACAAAAGTTTCCTATCATCTGTCAAGGTCCCTTATAATGAAGTTTCTCATTATCGTGCTGACTCATTTTTCAGGGTGACAATATTTTACTAAGAGTTCACTTTCCCGTATCAGTGGGGATGAATCCCTGAAAACTAGGTGACTTTTTCTGAATTTCTGCCCAAGATCCAGAATAGGCATTTCAGTCCTCCGTCAGATTAAAGACTATGTATTTATAGGATGAAATGTTGCATTTGTTTTTTACAAATAAATTTCACCTATTTTTTAAGGAATTGTCCAGCAGCAGAACTGAGTAATGCATGTAAAGTTCCTTCTAGCAAAAGATAATGATAAGCAAATTGGTCATTGTGTCCATCCTTTCTTAGGAATCTTCCTACTGAAGAAACTGACCTGTTCTCGTGGGAGTAATTTGCCAATACACTATGCTTAATTTTAACTGAACTGTTCTTTTCACTGTTTAAAAAAAAAAAAAAAAAAGAAAAAAAAGAAAAAAAAGAAAAAGCCTCTGAAACCAATCCCCCCTCCCAACAAATACATTTATTATTCTGAAAGACCTTTTGCAAAACAGTCCATACGTAACTATTAAGGGATTCCAAATTAATCAGTAAAATGGAAAGAGGAAGGAAGACTGTTCAATATTAGTTTCTTAATGAAGAAAAAAAAAGTGGTGATGGTGAACTTGCTCTATAAAAGCTAGACTACAAGGCAAAAACTGAACAACAGAATTATAAATATTGACCTACTGGTTACAGCAGATGCAAATAAATTATTATCTGCTGTTAGATTCAGGATAAATCTGTAGGCAGATAATCTTATTAGTATCATATGCCAC